TTGTTTTTATAATTTATTAATTTTTATTGTTTAATTATGGCATTCATTGTTGACAGATTTGACCCAAAAATTGAACTATTGATCTTTGCCAAATAGGAAAATGATTTAATTTTTTGTTAGTTTTAGATTATGTATTTCATTTTCATCGTCAATAAAACTATCTTAAATGTGTCTATTTTTTCTACATTTCGGCAATTTTTTATATTTATTTCTATTTAAAAATTTTATTATCTAACTATTAGGGGTGTTCACGGGTCGGGTTGGGTCGGTTTATTGGGGTTTTCCCAACCGACCCGACCTGGTTGGGTTACCTGAGGTGGAAACCGAAACCGACCCACTAATAGGCCAAACCGACCTGGTCGGTTTGAGTCGGGTTGGGTCAGTTTGGGTCGGTTTTGCTCCTGTACAAAAGGACACCTAATTGAATTCTAATTGTAATTGCCTAATGGGTTGCCTATTTGGTGTAAAAGATTATAGAAAGTTAGAAACTAGGATAGATTGCCTATTCTAATTGTAATTGCCTAATGGGCCTTTTAGTTCTAGTAGAAGACTAGTTATAGTTAAGTAGGAAACTACTCAAACTATGAACTACCGAACTAGTAGAAGACTAGTTCGGTTCGGGTCGGGTTGGTTTCGGTTTTCACACAAGAAAACCGAAACCAACCCGATATATCGGTTTATATATTTGCCCAACCCGAAACCGACCGGTACTGATGAAAACCCGGCCGACTCGGGTTGGGTCGGTCCGGGTTGGTCGATTTGGTCGGGTTGGGCATTCTTATGAACAGCCCTACTAACTATAACTTCATAGGTTGGCCAATTTGATTTGGATAGTTGAATTGTTTAGTCATAACTTAGATAAACAATGATTTTGTTTTTGAGTAAGTGTTAAAATATATGGATTGTATATTTTCTAAAAGTATTGGACATAGATCTAATAAGTAGCATTTATTAGTGAAAAATTAACTTAAATATGGATTTAATAAGAGAGAATGGGAGTTAATAACTTAAATAAAAGAGTTAATGAAGGGGATTAAATGAGGTGAAAAGCATTAATTGAAATTACATTTTCAACCTTCATAACTAGAGATGTACTAAATAGCAAATGTGGGCATTTTAGTCAAGAAAAGTTCCACACCCTCATTCATACTTTTTGTACTAGTATAAATTAATGATCTCCAGAGCGGATTACAAACTTGGTCATTCAGGATCAAATTGGTCTATCAAATGCAAGAATTAGATTATTATTTTTTTTGAGGCTTGTATTTGACTAGGTTAAAAGTGTGAGGGAGAGTATTGTAATCTCGGGTTTAGGGGCAAGGCATGCTATGTCTTCCCTTGGATATTTTTATTTTCCTTTCAATAATGATTTATAAAAATTAAGGTGGTCATCTCTCATCCTAGAGTAAAGATTTGGGCTAAAAAGTAAAGTGTTTTTAACCAAGATTATCATATATTATCAATCAAATTTATCCTTTGCGACATAAAACAAAATAAAAATTATAAGAAAACTAGAAGACCTTTATATATTAGTAACAAAATAATCAACTTGGACCTGCATTGATTCAGAGCAAACAAGAACAATAAAAATCAACCCAATTATTAATGGAGACAAATGACAAAACCAGAACCGATTATATTGGTTCAGTTCAGTTTGATCAATTAGTTAGAACTGACAACCATTGACATCTTTAAGAGTGCAACACCCGAACCATGCATATCTTTTATATAAGAATTGGTAGAAGCATATGCTGATTGGATATTTAAATTACTCTAACTTTGTAATTCGACTTTAATGTGTCGCATATGAATGATGTTTAGGGGTCGTCATTTTTTTGTGATTCAGGATTACCCTGTTCACCAAACCTAAACATCGAATTAGCAACATTTAATAGTCCACCCAAACATGATTTTAATAGTGCTTTCAATTTTTTTCGGGAAAATTCCTGATTTGTACCTTGTACTTTGGGTCTAGTGCCACTTTGGTCCCTAGCTAAACTTTAAAATACAACATTTCAATACCCAAATTTTCAAAACGTGCCAATCTAGTACATATCATTAATCACCTGTTAAGTGGCATTTAAAGAGACACAAATGCACTTCAAGTATCATCTAATTTTCTTTATCAACCATACAAATGTTGACAAAAAATGAACAATCCCAAATCCTTGCCTTTTCTATTCAAGAAAGTTGGGGTCTCGTCTCAATGGGCATTTTGGTGACCCCAACATTCTTGAATAGAAGAGACAAGGATTTGGGACTATTCATTTTTTGTCAACATTTGGATAGTTGATAAAGAAAATTAGATGACACTTAAAGGGCACTTATGTCTTTTCAAATGGCACTTAATAGGTGGATAACGGTTGGTACTAAATTGGCATGTTTTAAAAGTTTGGGTACTGAATTGTTGCGTTTTAAAGTTTGGAGACCAAAGTGGCACTAGACCCAAAGTACATGGTACAAATCGGGAATTTTCCCTTTTTTTCTAATGTTTTTTAACATTTTTTTGCTAATATGGAAATTTGGTAAATGCAATGATGCCAAATGTTAGAAAAGTCTATAAACTTCATTATAAGATCGTGTCATACAAATTTCATTGTACATATGTCACATGTGACTTGTGTATTCATGAAAATTTGATGATAAAAAATGCATCTAAAGTGATTTGAACCTACATCACCCAATGCTAAAGCCTTATCCACACTTTTAATCTACTAAACCACATTTCACACCTTAACTACAATTGAAATAAGATATTATTTTATCAATTCTAGTGTCCACATGTAATGCGGACAAATAACATACATTTGTGTCCAACTCAATAAAAAAATAATATTCAAAACTAATATTTTGTAAACAACTAGAATAAATAATTTCTTAAATCCACATTTATATCAAAAAGTGGTTTTTAATCTCAAGAAATTTATACGAATAAAGATATTAATAATAGAACAAATTATTAATTACTATTTTAATTTGAATTAAAAAAAGTATATATATTATTTACAAAAATAGAAATGTTATTTATAAAATACTCAAGAATATAATATAAACTGAATTTGTCAAATCCATTATTCTGCATTTATATCAAAAAATGATATTTTATCTCAAATTTTATGGAAAAATGTTAACAATGGAATAATTATTTTAGTAGTTAAAAATTATGAATTTGCATATGATGTGTATCTTAGAAAATTTAATATATTTGATATATTTTAAGTTAATATTATATATCTTTATAAATTTTTAATTGATATTTTAATTACATTTTATAATAGCATGTTTATCGTTTATAAAAATAAAAATATTGTTAACTAAACATTTGAGAATTCATTCTTAATTGACTTTTGGTTAATATTAAAAATTAAAAATAATAAAATAGAAAATAATCAATATAATAATTCATGTATAATAGTTGCATATGTTTTGTGCCTTAAAATTCAATAGAAAATAACATAATAATAGCTTTATGCATGTATTAATTTGTAAATATATATATAGATATAGATATAGATATATGCATCCCACTGTATTAACTGTAGTATATTTTTTCATATATACCTTTAGAATATACATTTTCTATAGACTTATACAATAATTATGACTATTTTAATATTAATTATATAATGTTATTAATATAATTATGAAATTTATATGCATTTTTTATATATCCATATTTTTTATTCGTATTCATACGTTTCCAAAATACTTCCACATCTATATCTATATCCGTATCTGAATGGTCCGATACAATACTCTACACCTATACTCTAATCTTTGATTTCAAGTTGCATAACTGGTTATAAGATAAACCATCACAAATATATCTTTTGATGATATATATAGAAAGGAAAAATAACCAAATTAGATTGAAAGGAAAGCGAAAACTTAGAGATGCCAATAGATTAAAGGTGTTTCCCATTCGTCATTCGTTGCGGCATTCATGTTTGTTCTGGTTCACAAATTGCAATAAGGTCTAAGGCAAGGAAATGGAATCATCATTCTGCTTCTTAATACAATGCTGGTTTAAAATTAAATTAACCAGAACTTTTTATATAAAAGCACCATAGATTGCTGATGTAAGCATGACACAGCAGGTATGTAATATTTCTTGTACTACATCAGCAATAATATTTCTACTAGATAATGACGATAAGATCATAAAGAAATAGAGAAAGTACATATACATATGAACTGAATGATGAATCAATCGCACACTCAATACTCACAGACCATGGTTCAAAAAATGAACCACAGACTCAACAACCTCTTTTGCATTTTCTGGTTACTTAACCCAACCTAACCCTAAATTAATTTAGCTTAGAATCTGACCTGAAAGCTAGGTTCGTCAGATCAAATTGGATTTACCATTTAACCCAACCCAATCCAACCCATTAGTATCCCTAACCGTCCATATAAACGTCTAGTTCTAATCTTCAGTAAGTATACAATTTATTAATTGACTATAAAAATTTAACTTTAAATTAACATGTGGAAAATCACTTGGTTTGTTTACTGAACAATGAACAATTAAACAGAGTAGCAATAAGCCACTGCCTTTGAAGTTTGAACATAAATGGTAAAATATAACATGGAGGAATCGTAATTTTGTATACAATATTATTTAATAATTGGGGAGAGACTGAAATTGAATTAGAAATACATACATTGTTGAAGGCTTGAAAGATCAGACGGTGTACAAGTATCTGATCTTTTGGGACAATTTTTATGTTGTCTAGTTTGTGGGTTTTGATCCTTTATTGGACACACACCCACATACTGGGTTTGACAGAATTCGTGTCAACACCCAACGGACACAAGCACTATTCTACATCTGGTTGAAGAGTTCATGGGACATCCTCTCTCTCTCTCTCTTTCTCTCTATATCTATCTATCTATCTCTCTAAGCATCAAGGGTGGGCCCTGACTCTTGCGTGTTATCACGTGTGCTGAGTATTCATTTGCCTTATTACAGCATCATGATCGTCAGCTACTGCATAGGATTCTAAAGAAAAAATTTATTTCAATGGTATGAGACAAAGTCTTTAGAGAGAGAGAGAGAGAGAGCGCTTTTTGTTGGGTTCTTTGCCGAAGAATTTTCATTTACAGTGAGCAAAAGAGTGGTAAAGAAAGATCTCAAATATGTTTAATGGAGCGCCAGACCAGTTCCACGAGTTCATAGCTTCGAGAGCAGCTCTCACATTCCCTCTTCCACTCACTCTACCTCTCCATGTCTCTCCTCCTTACTTCTCCGGTTTGGATCCCTCCCCTCCTCAGCACCAAGTATTCCAGTCTCATTCCCTCCTCCTTCACCAATTGCACCGACAGTCCCCGTCGGTCGAAAATGATGAACAGGAAGAAGAAAGGGAGATGGATCGAACCATGCAACTTCAAGGACTGAAATCGACATCTAAACTGATAGATCCATGGACGGAAGAGGAAATACTTGCACTGTTGAGGGCCAGATCTAGCATCGAGACTGGGTTTTCAGACTTCATTTGGGAACATGTTTCAAGGTTTGTACTACCCATCTGTTTCTGCTTTTTCATACTTAAAACACACTTGTTTCTTGTCATTTGCTTCCTTGAAATTTATGATGCTCTATTTATGGCTCTGATCCATTTTTCGTCACTGTTTTCAAAACCCAATGTCATATCTAAGCTTCTGAATCTTTGGATAGTTGATTTCATCTCCTTAGCCGTCGAAATCATAATCGCTTCAATCACGGAAAAACCGAAGTTTGTTAATAAGCAGACGGTGTATGAGTTGAAGTGAATAATATTTTTACTTGATGAGTGCATCATTTACCTAGATTTCTTTTTTCCATAGTTGCTGAATCTAGTTCTGCTATCTACCAGTTTAGAGAACTTCTTATACTTGTAGATATTTTCTTTCTTTCTAATTTTGAATAGCCCATTTAAATGGTTGCAGAGATCTAATTGTTCCTACTCGCATTAAAAGAAAATTAAACAAATTAAATTAGCTTCTCATACATGGCGGTCTTGTTTTTTTTTTTTTTTGTGCATTTTTTTGGGTAAAAAAAGGAAGCTTGCAGAGCTTGGATTCAGAAGGAGTCCTGACAAATGCAAGGAGAAATTTGAAGAGCTTAACAGTCTGTGCAACAACAACAACAACAATAGCAGTTACACTGATAACTATAGGTCCTTCGATGAACTTGAAGCCGTCTATGAAGGTGAAAACCCTAAGACATCAGCTGAGATGGAAATAACTAGCGAAGGAGGTGGGAAGGTGACAATGAATTTGGAGGACAATTCAGGTACAGAAACCTTGGTGAACCCACCTGTCGAAAACAAATACGTGGTCAAGAAATCAAAAGTAAAGAAGAGAAGAAGGTCTCATAAGTTCGAATTGCTGAAGAACTTCTGTGAAGAAATTGTAAACAAGATCATGGCCCAACAAGAAGAGCTGCAGAGCAAGCTCCTGGAAGGCATGGAAAGACGAGAGGAGGAAAGATTTGCTAGAGAAGAAGCATGGAGGAAGCAAGAAATGGTTAGGATTAACAGGGAGATTGAAATTAGGCAACATGAGCAAGCCGTTGCACGCGATAGAGAAGCTACCATCATTGAGCTCCTGAAGAAATTCACAACAGGTCCATCTCATCAGAACCTTAGTCTCTTAAACGAAGATCTTTATAAGACAACAAACAAGCAGAACAGACTCACTTCGCCTTCATCATCAAGTCCAGCACAGATATCAGAAGAATCGACCCAGTTCAACCTTAAAGAGATCAGTTCATCTACTAACCCAAATCTACCTTCTTCGTCTTCTCAAGTACCAGTACCCCAAAACCACCCAGACTCCAGTGTCTGTCAGACCAATCCAATAGTACCCTCTTCTTCTACTCTAGCAATGGGTCCCCAAAACCCTAATTCCAAAACGAGCCAAAACAATACAGTACTACCCACTTCATCGACTGCAGTTCTGCCCCATCAAAACCCTAATTCGACATCCAGTGATAGAGAAGATCATGGCAAGAGATGGCCAAGAGATGAAGTGAACTCACTGATAAACCTGAGGTGCAACCTCTACAGCAGCATTGAAGATAAGGAGGGAGCAAAGGTTCCTTTATGGGAGAGAATCTCACAAGGAATGTTGGAGTTGGGTTACAAGAGGAGTGCGAAGAAGTGCAAAGAGAAATGGGAGAACATAAACAAGTACTTCAGGAAAACCAAAGGTGCAAACAAGAAGCGGTCTCCTGACTCAAAAACATGTCCTTACTTCCATCAACTGAGAAGTTTGTACAACCAAGGCACACTCATTGTACCCTCTGGAGGACCTGAAAACCATTCCAGTTCTCCAGAAAATCGATTGGGATCGCCGGAAACCCGCTTCCGGTCCTCTCAGTGTGGTTTTAATGAAGCAACTATGCATGATGATGAAGGTGAGAGGAACCAGCAGCTGGGTCAAGTACCCGCCTTAGATTTTGAATACTAAAGTAAGCCTTTAATCTTTTTGTTTTTTTCATCTTCTACTTATTAAGTTATTTAATTACAGAAATGTGCTATAGTTAATATTCTTACTTATTTTCGATTTATAATTTTTATTCCTCTCAAAGATTCAGTTGAGTGTCAAATTTTGTTAATTATTTTGCATGGAATATTAATGATAATATATATGGCACCGACATTTTTTGAAAATTGAATAGCAGATGCACATTCATGTAAGCACAAATGAAGTATTGCGATTTGCGACAACACAATCCCTGATTGATATCTGTTCAAGGTGGGGGTCCATCACATGACAATGTTTACAGAGATGTAGGTACGTGTATGGCCAATGCAAAGATAATTCCAAAACATGAAGGGACGATTTTTCGTCCAAACTCGGTTTGGTTATATGGAGGGACGGTCCAGATGCATCTGTACAGTATTCAAAGTCAAGGATTCAAACATTGGCATCGTACTTGTTGGCTTTCTAATAAATCCTTTGTGTGAGACAAGAGAATAATGTGCTTTCACTGCTTTCATGCCATGCAGAGAGAGGAGAGGACTTTTGAGTTAAGACCACTCGTTGGTTGGTTGCTTCCTTCTTATTAAGTGGCTGATGCTGAGAAGTCAATGTGATTAGGTAATAACATCCATCACAAAGCTAGTCGTCGTACTGTGTCGGTTTCAATCTTCTTTTCCAGGTACATACATGGTTTGGTTGGGCCCTACTAGAGCAAGAATTGGGGACCACCCATTTGATCTAAATTAACGATACCTTGAAATAGACGGCTGATGTGATGACCCACAATGCATGCTTATCCAGGTGATCAATCCATTTCTTCCTCTCTGTGTGTTTACGCTTTAATTTTATTTTATTTATGGAATTATGGGAGAGAGGAGTTCCGGAGTTAAATCGGTTCCAGACTTCCAGTTCCAATTCCACCACCCTCCTCAAAATCAGTGAAGTAGTTCTCTCCCCCAAGTCCCAACCAAAACAAAGAGTTGGCTTTGTCTCACACGTCTGCTGTATGAGCTTAATTCTGTTTCTTACTTTCTTCCTAGTGAGTGACCAATGGGATGGTCATGGTCCCACCCCACCATATCTATGGGTGGTCTACACCAGATTATAAGAGAAGAGCAAACTTATCTCTGATCAAGAAATGCTAGCTACACTCCAACTTTGACTCAACTGTGGACTACTCTGTTTCTTCTTCAATTCATCACAGTGATATCTTCCTTCTTTGATATGTGCAGACATACGGCCGGACTTGACTGGTAATTCACATTTTCAAATGTATTTCCATCCCACTCCAAACTCCAAAGACTCCAAACACAGCCCAAGAAAATTACCCAAACAACCCCCCTTAACAAATGTGTTGTGCAAGGAGTAGTTGATCTGAGTCATTCACTGACCCTCTTCCATCTTCCATGGGTTTCCACTCGTAAGACTGGACCATTGATAAAACCCCACATCAGCTCTTACACGCGCATCTCACGTGATGAACTTTTGGTACGAAAGTGGGATCCACTCTTATAAGGACATTAATGCCCCCTCACATGCATTGGAATTGATGTAGGCCCCTTTTTTTTATTGTCTACTAGTGAGCTCGGTTGTTTAAATGAGATGCATCGAGTAAGCAGACAAATGTGGGGCTGTCACAATAAAATGAGGCAGGCCAAGAGCTTATGTCACTTCTTCGCTTATTGTGGTCGTACAATACGTTTGATTGAATAATTCTCTGGTCGGGCTTGCTTCACAAAAAAGTTTGGGAAGGCCGAGGACGTGGATTAATGCCCAATGGGCATCAGCTCCATTTTGGTCCACAATTCAGGGTCCGTTTGGTTGGTAATCAGAGTTGGAATCAGAATTGAAATTAAAATCTTTTATAATCGGAATTGCAATGGTTCATTCTCATAGTCTGTTTGGTTCAGACAAGAATGAGAATGGGAATTAAAATTAGTAGGAAAGAGATTTTATTCCCAAAAAAAAAACAGGAAATAGTCATTGTTTCAAATGAGGAAATAGTCATTCTTTTAAATGAGGAAATATCATTTCAACAGGAATAGAAATGAGATTCCGATTCCACCCAACCAAACAGTTGGAATCGGAATAGTTCATTCCGATTCCGATTCCAGACCTCTATTCCTGTAAACGAAACGGACCCTCAATTCAATTTGAAACCCGGCTATGCCAGTAGGTGTACTGGCCTACTGGGCCAATTTAGTTCTGATAAATGTCATTACCTTTATGGGTAACAATTAACACTTCATTTTGATTTTCTTCTTTTCTCCTTTTTAGCGTGGGATTGTCGATTTCCGGTTGTGGGCTTTGTCACATTAAAATTTGAATCATTAATTGCAGTTTACCTTGATTGACCGGGAATTTATTGGCCCAACCCAAGGATCAAAGCCCATGTAGAAGTAAAGTGTAGAACATAACTAGATTTTAAAGGCTTAAAGCTCATTTAGCTCGTTTGAAGAAGAAGAAGAAGAAAAACCCACCCAATTGAAAGCTTTCTTGTAAAGCAGCTTAAACTGTACCATTGTAATTCCTCGAGTCAGTCCCCTGTCCCCTTCTTTGAGCTGAAAATGTGAGTACACGGCTTAAACAAGGCGCACATGAAGTATTTAATAAGCAAAAATGAAAGCCTCACCAGCTGAGGTTGAGGCATTACATCCAGCAATTCCGGAACACGTGGGGAGAGACTGATAACAACCTGTTGGAAAAGGATTCTGATGTGTTGTAATTTGAAAACACCGACCTACCCATAATTTAAATAAACATTTAACAGGAATTACCCATTGACAAGGATTGGCATCAGCCCCATTGTACAAAAGAGAATGGTTGAGGTGATGCCTCAAGCCAAGCGCAGTTAGTGAAGCTATCATGACTCATTTACTCTTCTTCACACCATCAATACATCACCTATCATATTAAGTGGCCTTACTTGCTTGCTTGCTTGCTGTAACAGTAGCTATTAAAGACTTGCTCAGAGGTCCAACTGGTTCGATTGGGTCAGACCAATAACTGGTTTCAATTTTTGATACCCATTCTACAATGTGTGAGAGTATGTTATTAATTAATTTGTTACTGTAGGTGTGGCATCTATAGAACCCGATGATTTATCAGTTTTTGGCGTTGATGTCTCAAAAAGGGTGATCAGATTTTCAAGACTCATATTGCTGCATGCCGGCATCCCCTGATTCTTATATATCTGGCAATTTCAGCCAAATAACAACTGGTCTGCATGCAAGTAAAAGAAAACCTCGTCTTTTTAAATTATAAGTAGCTCTTCTGATGGAGTTTTTATGTTTCAACGGGTCAAATTGCCAAATAATGAATGATTTAGTGCAACCATCAAACAGATGTTGAAGAAGAAGCTGTTGGCACCTTGCATCTTGCTTATCCAACAATTTTGTGTGACCAGATGGTGCTATATCTTACTAGATTATCCAAATCAGGGAGATATTTTGACTTTCTACTCTGGTTCCACTTGGTTGCACCTACAATGGAGGAAAATGAATGGTTTCCACAGAAAAATGATACTTAACTGTGTTTGGTTGCATGAAGAATGGGCTTAAAAAATGAAACTACTTTTTCAAAAGAATAGAGAGAGAGAGAGAGAGATTAATAGTGGCTATAGGAAATTGACATCCATTCACATTTTCAGTTCAAATATAAAAAGGCTCATATATTTTTCAACATTTCTGGTGCGTTTGGTTGCCGAGAAAGGAAAAGTATGGGAAGCATTTTGGTGGAATATTCCACCTTTCTATTGTTTGTTTAGCAAGAAACACTAAGAAGAGAGTGGAACATCGCAGGTTCTCAATAGTTAAGCCACGGGGTCGCATTAAAACAGTGATACCCCGCTGAGAAGAGAAAATATTGGACAGAAAGGTGGAAATTTTCATCAAGCTTGTCAGAGAACCAGACTCGGGTCTTCACCATCTAACTATCGGTCCTCCAATGGTTAGCTCTGTGGTGATGTTTCCGGTGGTTTCGTGCGACGGTAGGTATAGATTCGACATCCTCTTGTATCTTGCTTCCATTTTGGCATCATTTTCATATGGTTTTGTTGATTTTTTTTCCGTCCTCAACTCATCGAATCGCCCCTCCAATGGTCAGTTGGATTTGTTGGGATTGCGTCTTAATTTACAACTATTGGATTAATTTTAATCTAACAGTTGGTGTGGTCCCTCTTTAAGTTAAAAAGGTTTTACATATAAAATCTTTCTTTTGTATATAGGGCCAAGATTTTTTTGAAGAAAAGGTGTAAGAGAAAAATACAAAATGCTCTTAGTGTGAGAATGGGTTTTTTCTCTTGTTTTCTTCTTTGGGTTGAGAGAAAATGAATAACGAATTACAAGGGTTAAGGGTTGGATTGGGCTGCAAGCCACAAGGTACTTGTATTGTTTCTCAGTTTCCTTTCATAGTGAAGAACAGATTTCATTTCTCCAGTGGACGTAGGCGGTAAGGCCGAACCACGTAAATCTTTGTATTCTTTGTGGCGCTTGTTCTGTGTGCCTTTACTTGGATTTCGTTTTTTTTTTTGTTGCTATTAGATTTTTCGTGGTTGTTATTTCAAATACCTTGTGATTTTATAATGCGGGTGGTTGTGGTGAGGCTCTAACAAATTAGTATCAGAGCTCCCAAGTTAGTGTATACAAGGTGTTTGTAAAATTACTTGAGAGATAATGACAACAAAAGGTATAGGTTTTCAGTTCCAGATTAAGAGGTTTGACAACAAAGGCAGTTTTACCCTATGGCAAAGAAGGGTAAAGGACATCCTAGTTCAACAAGGCTTGGCTAGAGCATTGAAGGGAAATGATGGAAAGCTATAAGACAAAAAGGATGCTGATTGGGAAGACATTGAGTCAAGGTGTGTTAGTACGATTCAATTGATCTTGGCTGATAACGTTATGTTTAATGTTATGAAAGAAGATTCTGCACCGGAATTGTGGAATAAGCTAGAGAAGCTTTATTTGGAAAAAAATCTTAACTACAAAGCTATATCTAAAGAGGCAATTGTACGGGCTAAAGATAAAAGAATGTGGGAATCTCCTGGAATACCTAAATGTGTTCAATAATATCTTGGATCAACTAGGGAAAGTTTATGTCAAGGTGGAGGAAGAAGACAAAGCCCTTTTACTTCTTACCTCACTTCCTGATTCGTATGAAAACTTGGTGGCAATGTTGTTGTACAGGAAAGATACAGTAAAGTTGGAAGAATTCACTGCATCTCTTCTATCAAATGAGGTTAGGAAGAAACCTAAGTATGAGAACGAGCAGGACTCTATGTTGGTTACGCTAGGAACAACTCGGAAATGAAGGTCTCTTGACAGGGGGTCTAAAAGCAACAAGTTTAGATCCAAGGCTAGGGAAAAGGGCAAGATACAATGTTATAGATGCAAGGAATTTGGTCATATAAAGAAATCGTTCTAAACAAAAAAGGAGTGGGGATGAATCCAGAAGCGAGGCAATTGCATCTAATGATGATGGAGACGTTCTCACAGTTTCCGAAGGTATGTGCATTTTTTCTCCAAATGAGTGGGTTTTAGATTCTAGATGTTCTATGCATATTTGCTCCAGGAAGGAATATTTTGATGCGTTCCAAGAGAGGAAGATAGGTGTTGTCTCCTTAGGTGATAGATCTACGTGTAACATCACGGGTGTTAGGACAATAGAAATCAAAATGTTTAATGGAGTAGTTTGCACTTTGGATGGTGTGCCATATGTCCCAAAAATGCATAAGAATCTAATATCACTTAACTGATTGGACTCAAAGGGTTGCAAGGTTTTTGCTACAGGTGGAGCCTTGAAAATCACACATGGCGGTATGGTCCTAATGAAGGGAGAAAAATGCAAGGGTATATCTCATCTGGTTGGGAGTATAGTGGTTCCCAAGACCTCGATGGGATGTTGGAAACAAAATGTGCAAGGTAGTGTGGCAACACAGAGGGTCTCTTTTGCGGATAGAGTGAAGACAAGTGCTGCAAGTTTCCAAAGTATACATGATAGTGAGAGGAAGATTCCTGTTGGAAAAGAGGAAGGATAGAGGTCCCTCTCTAAAGTTAACTAGGATTATTAGCTTGGGTACAGTTACACAGGTACATTGGCCGTCTTGTTTCAATCAGGTGGAGTCGGGACCGAATGATTCAAGTTATGTGTAGTTGGTGATGTTTTAACGCCGATGGAGGTTTATAGTATTTGCAAACAGGTGGAGGCACAAATAGTATATATATTTCTAAGGTGGTTGAAAATTAAGCCAAGGTGAAGATTGTTGGGATTGTGTCTTATTTTACAACCGTTGGATTAATTTTAATCTAACAGTTTGTGTGGTCCCCCTTTAGGTTAAATTATCAGTTGTTGGGATGGTCCCATTATTCTCCTTTCTTTTCTTGTTTCCTTTGTTGGATGGACTTTGGAGTCCAGATTAAATTATCAGTTGATTGTAACCATACATGATATATTTTCCTTCTCTTGCTTCAGATGATGGATGCATCTGCAAATGTTATTTGGCATGGATTGTTTTTCTTAGTAGCTCTTTGAATGATTTCCTTCCTTCTTTGCTTCTTTGAATGGATATCATTTAAATGCATTTTATCCATTCATATGTCACTAAATATTAAGCAATATTGGTGATATTGTTGTGAACATCCATCTAATTTTACTATTTTATAAATAGATTA